AAAAAAACTTACTATTCGCGTTTTGTAATGCGTTTTGTTAACTTTTGTATAATATATTAATATGGTTGTCTACTGTTATCAACAATGGTAAAATGATAAGCGGCATAATGACGTCATGGACAGTGAGACATTTTTCCTGCTATGATCCATTCGTATATTTAACCACGGACTAAGATAGTCCGTGTATTTAACTATAATAAATATTAACCATAGATAATATATACAACAAGTTGTTGTTGTATATATCTATGATATTAACTTAATTTCGATCATGATTTCGATAAACACAGATAACAGTGCCAAGCCTTTAGTAAATTTATTTTGCCATCAAAACCTTTAAACCTTGTGGTTTTATCCATAACTAGACAAAAGCAGCTGTATTATATGTGAGTTACACCCCATTTTTAACTACCTATTGGTAGTTGGTATTCATAGCCCCGTTTAACGGGTGGTGAATTGTATGGTGTTTAATAGGGTGAAAAATTGTTGAGGGCCAACATAAAATAAAAAATAAAAAATTATAATTATAATTTTCTTAAGTCTGGCATATTTTAATTTTCCCAGGGATGGCAACAGGTTAATTAAATTTAAATATTGGGAAATACAATTTTTCAACTATTTTAGGTTTTTACTTTCTTAAATGATAACATAAATTTTAGATTCTCGGTGGAACGTTAAATATATTGATTTTACTAATTGATAAATATGACTGATAAACCTAACCTAACTGATTAATRCAAATAATACAATTATGAAAATTTAAAAATGTGTAACAAAAATAAAATTTAAACTTAAAATATTAATTTGAACTTGGTTTCAGATAGAAGGTCCCCTTCGGGATCTTTAATATTTTAGGGCTACGAGCCCGGGCTCCAAAGCTCCATGCTTAATCCGGCCGTGTACTTAGATACTACATATAAAACAGATAGGTTTTAGCTTAGGTACCTACATTATATTTTGTTGTATACAGGGTGATTCTTTTATCAAACAACAATTATATGGTGTTTGTGTGTAAATACCACCTAACATACACCTATAACACACAAACACCATCCAACTTTGGGAGGCTATGTCTTGTAAACGGATTAACGAAAAATGAAAATTTAAACGTGAAAATTCATTGAAAAAATAGCCTTTTTA